CCCCCCCCCCCCCTTCTTTTGAGATTTGATTTTACAACAACCCAGTATAGTCTCACAAGTGGGGTCTGGGGAGGGTAGTGTGTACGTAGGCCTTACCTCTACCCCGATGGGTAGAGACACTGTTTTCGATAGTCCCTCGGCTCAAGAAGACGAAAAGACAAAAAGAGATAATATATCAGTACCATCATGGACATAATAACAACAACACAAGAACCAGCGAATAGATGAAAGGCAGAAATAATAACCAGTAAATAAGGCCCGACACTATAAAAACGGAAGAGTAGTGTAAACACAGCACTGACCACTAGCAATCTAAGACTAAATCCTATCAGCCTAGCCTCACACTGGTAGACTAAATATGCTTAACTACCTCCAAACCCACAACCTTAATGCTCGACCTCCACAGCTTCCTATCGAGTGTCATGTCCTCGGAGATCTGAAGTCTCGCCATATCCCGCCTGATCACCTCTCCCTAATACTTTTTAGGTCGCCCTCTACCTCTCCTCGTACCCACCAACGCCAACCGCTCGCACCTCCTTACCGGGGCATCCAAGCTCCTCCTATGAACGTGACCGAACCATTTGAGTCTCGCTTCCCGCATCTTGTCATCAATAGGAGCCACGCCCACCTTCTCCCGAATATCTTCATTCCTAATCTTATACATCCTAGTGTGCCTGCACATCCACCTTAACATCCTCATTTCTGCTACTTTCATCTTCTGGGTATGTGAGTTCTTAACTGGCCAACACTCAGCCTCATACAACATGGCTGGCCAAACCACCGCTCTATAAACTTACCTTTGAGTAGCGGAGGCACTTTCTTGTCACACAGGACTCCAGATGCTAACCTCCATTTTATCAACCCCACCCCTATACGGTGTGTGACATCCTCGTCGATCTCCCCATCCCCATGGATAACTGACCCAAGATACTTGAAACTGCCCCTCTTGGAAATGACCTGCCATCCAAGCCTCACGTCCATGCCTGCTTCCCTCGGCTCGGCACTGAACTTACACTCAAGATATTTCGTCTTTGTCTTGCTCAACTTGAAACCCTTTGATTCAAGGGCCTGGCTCTAAACCTCCAGCCTCTCGTTAACGCCACTCCGCGTCTTGTCAATCAGAACAATGTCATCAGCGAATAACATACACCATGGCACCTCTCCTTGAACATGGTGTGTCAGTGCATCCATCACCGGAGCAAATAAGAACGGGATAAGCGCAGATCCTTGGTGTAACCCCATAACAATCGGGAAATGCTCGGAGTCGCCTCCCACTGACCTAACCCGAGTCTTAGCTCCATCATACATGTCCTTAATCGCCCTAATGTAGTTTCAACTTGTTTTCTCCTAGTATGGTCCGTTTGCCTAGTGTGTGTGAGTGATTCTCCTTAGTCTGTTATAGGTATAATGCCTGTAGTCTGGGATGGTAGAGTAAGGTCATATCCTGGGGGAGGCCAGGGGGCGGGGCGGGGGGTTGGGTCGGGGTCAGGGGTCAGGGGGTGGACGGGAGGCAAGGGAGGTAAGGGGCATAAGGGTGCCTGTAGGTTGAGAATTGGGTCATGGAACATAGGTACATTGACGGGTAAGTCTATACAGCTGGCGAAGATCCTATAAAAGGGGAAGGTCAATATAGCGTGTGTCCAAGAGACCCGGTGGGTAGGATCGAGGGCGAGAAATGCAGACGAGTATAAGCTGTGGTACTCTGGAGTCCTAAAGGGTAAGAAAGGTGTAGGAATTTTGGTGGATAGGGAACTTAGAGAGTCTGTGGTAGAGGTTAGGCGGGTGAATGATAGGTTAATCTCTATTAAGTTGGTGTTTGGAGAGTGCACCCTAAATGTCGTTAGTGCGTATGCGCCGCAAGCGGGCTTGGATGAGGAGGTCAAGGGGCGCTTCTGGGAGGGGTTGGATGAGATTGTGTGTAGTATTCCGCCTGCTGAGAGGTTATTTATAAGAGGGGATTTTAATGGTCATATTGGGTCGACTGCAAGTGGCTATGGCGAGGTGCATGGTGGCTTCGATTTTGGGGATAGGAACGCAGGAGGAACTTCGATGTTGGATTTCGCAAGGGCATTTGAGCTAGTGATTGCTAACTCTAGTTTTCCAAAGAGGATGAGCAATTGGTCATTTTTCAGAGCATGGTGACGAAGACTCAGATTGACTATCTGCTCCTTAGGATGGATAGATAGTCAATCTGAGTGCTGGTGAGTCTCCTTTCTAACCTTGTAAGAGGGAATTAACCCCATAGGTGATTTAATCAAATATGTGCTCCTATTTGTGGGGGCTACATACGCACGAGGTGACGAGAGTCCGTACGTAGCTACTAGTTATGCCTATGTCCGGGTAGTTTTAGGCCTACATCATGCCTTGATTGATATTGTTGTTAATTCATGTTATTGTTTGATTTGAGAAGAAACAAGATTAAGGTTGCGTAATAATTGGGTTGAAAGAAATTTAAATTGAAGAACTTGAGATTTTTAAGAGTTTCCATTAAACCTCGTATTTTCAGAAAGAAATATTAAATACCAAAATAATTTAAGAAACCTATAATTGACCCCGTTGCATGTATAATTCGCGAGCAGGGGAGTTCCTTAAATTATATTTCACCGCGTCGCGTGTATGATTCGCGAGCGGGGTACTACCTTTTACTACTCTCATGGGAGCGGGCCGATCGCCTCAGCAGGTTAATAGATGCATCTATGGTTCGTGCCATTCGACCCGTGCACAATTTACTTTTACGTTGGATCGGCCGTATGCCTCGGCATTTCCTATATATACATATGTATTATACTCACGAAATCGTGCGTAACACTTGGCCAGAAACCGGTGTATATGAGGTGCTATTTACCTGAATTGAATCATGATAATTCCCTTGACGAAAACCACTATAATTGTACATATATGCTCCGGTTACGGAGGAAAACTTGGTAGCTGAAAACTTGAGTAAAATTATGAAGAAGGGGGATGGTATTATTATGTTTTACACATGTTTGTTTCATATATTCGTCCTGTTTCATATATTTTTACTTCTTTACTGTAATGATATTATTGGACCATTAGTGAGTGTCGAAGTCGACCTATCGTCTCTACTTCTTCGAGAGTAAACGAGATACTTACTGAGTACACGTTGTTTTTGTAATCACGCTACACTTGCTGTGCATTTTTGTTGCACGGGCACATGTACTTCTAGTGGCCTAATGGGCGTAGCAGCATGGATGATACGGAGACTTAGCTGCATCTCTCGAGACAACCCACAACCAGCAGTCTCTTTCAGTGTATTATATTACTTTCTGTCCAAGTTTGTATTACGGACAACTATTGTACTTTATTAGATTTCCTAGTAATTGCTCATGCACTTGTGATACCGGGTTCTGGGAGGATTTCGGGATTATTCAGTAAATAAATTTTGTAAAGATATTATTATTTATCCAGTGAAGTTTATTATCCATTGTTTAAATGTTTAGAACAAATGATTCGAGAATATTAAAACGAGAATTTACTAGTAATATGGTGTTGGCTTGCCTGACAGTGGTGTCCGGTGCCATCCCGATCCTTAGTGGATTTTGGGTCGTGACAATATGGTATCAGAGCACTAGGTTCTCTTAGGTCTCACTAGTCATGAGCAAGTCTAGTAGAGTCTCGCGGAACGGTATAGAGACGTCTGTGCTTATCTTTGAGTGGCTACTGGACTGTTAGGAGCACTTCCCTTCTTGATTCCTCATCGTGTTGTTTGATTACTTTGAGGCTTATGCCTTTCTTTCTTTCCTACTCAATCTTGTGCGACGTAAATCGCTTGTTATCGACCGAGAATTGAGGAATTGTAATGGTACTACAGATGTGGTGCGGGATATTTCTCCCTACGTGGTTGTTGGGGCTATTATCATCGCCTTGTGGAAGGATATTTTGTCGTTTCAGCTCAGTAGTTGTACATCTTAGAGCTTTTAGGCTATGCAGAGGTTGCTATGATGCTTATGAACGGTTATCGTGAAAATTGATGTGATGGTAGGATGCTCGCCTATGTGTCGAGGCTATGAGTGACTTGAAAGGAGATTTGCTCAGAGCACGATTCAGAGATTCAGTGTTTTATTTTTGGCGGAGGGAGGACAATCGAACTATGAATGTTCAGGTTCGGGTTGACGGAGTAACCATCTATTGGATAAAGTGCTACAGAGTTATATTTTGATTTAAGGAAAAGCCTGGGAAACGAAAGATGAGGATGGCGTGTGGGAAGAGTCTTGTGGTGATAAAACTCCTGGAAGGGTAAGTGTGGGGGACAGGAGTTGAGTACTTGCTTAAAGAAGTGAGTTTGGCCAAGTGGGAGAGTGGCAGAGTAGTATATGGGTGTAGTGGCAGGATAACTACACGCCTTAAGGAAGTTGGGCTGATTTGGAAATTTTAGTGGACAGTGATTGGGTCTACGGGCTTAATTTGAATTATTGGCTATTATACAGTGGGAGAATCGATACAACAGAAAGGAGTTGCTTGATATGAAGAAGGATACAACATAACTTGGGATTGGAAGGTATTGTCGCACATTTAGTTGATTTCCATAAGGAGTGAATGGGCTTTTACAGCTAGCGAACGAGCATGGGCTCAGATTGGGTTATGGGTTTCATGGTAATTCTGCAGCACGACATTATTAGGAGATGTCGGCATGTAATTTCCATAAGTGGGTTATCTCCTATGAGTAGGTTAGCGGTCGCGTGGTGTTGACAAAGCTTAGGCGAAGAATTCTACCAGCTATGTGGTAAGAGGTCGGATAGGTGAATGTGGTTAGTGATTCAGAGTGTTCATGAAGGGTCAAACAGAAAGATTTCGAGGAATTTGGTGGGTTGGTTGTGAAAGATCATGTCAACAATGAAGAAAGAATCTTGGTGGGTTCCAGAGTTGGGTAATGGTGGCTTCAAGCTAAGTGGGAGAGTCACACCGCCTACGATTGGGTTGCATGGTTATCTTCTTGTGAGGTTTCGGGTTATCGGCTTAGTGGTAAGTTATTTCAGCTAAGGGAAAGGAACATAAGTGGTAATTTGAGCAAAGGAATTGATAAAGGCGTGCTATAGTTGGCCTTATTGACTCATGATCAGGATTTGGGAAGCGATTCAGCTAGGTGCTTTATTGAGATGGGTGTTCATGTGCCAGCGGACCCTCGGAGTTGATTATATTCGGGACCAAGCTAGAGTGGGTGACTCTCAATAAAAGTCCTAGTGAATTCAAAGGTTAAAAAATACGGTGCCTAAGGATTCAAGCCCGCAGTAAGGTTAAGAATCAAACTTTTGCAGCAGATTATTATAAGAGGCTCGGAATGTTCTATGATGTTTTCGACTTGCAGTGTAGCATTGGGAGGAAAAAGAGAAAAAAGACTTCGGGTTCGTAGAAAAATTATCAGAATAGGTGTATTAGTTGAGGATGCGAATGTTCGTGCAATGAGGGTATGAAACAGTTCGTGGGTTTGGAGACAAGGTGGTCTCATGGAATGGAGTCACTCAAGGTGAGTGTGGATTTAGGTTGGTGATGTAAGGAATGGAGCTATTATTATCTCTAAGGCAAGTTAATGATGAATTAGAAGAAGTTAGATTGGTTAGCCATGGTTGAATTGGTATAATGGTGATGGTGATCAGTTCCTTCAGCGTGATTAAGTTATGCATGTGATTTGTGGTGGTGCGTGCGAGGCTCGACGGCCGCCGTAATTGATTTTATTTGAAAGTATTCAAGTATTATGGCCTATTATGTGCAGTCGGATCACGGAGGGGTTATGGTGGTTTAGACCACTACTTGAGGATTTGAATGTTCTACGATTATGAAAAGTTACTCGCGTGTTGTTATGGTTATCTTGGAATGAGTTAAATAAAAGGTTTCTGTATGATGAAGTGTATACCCTATTAGTGGTTTAGGAGTTATGATGAAATTCTTATACTGTCGCATATTGGCATGTTAGGTGTAGTGAGCGGTATGAAAAAACAAATTGAAAGTGAGGAACTGAGGTTGCGGTTCGGTGATTGGCAAGGATGTCACGAGCTCAGATGAGCAGGAAAGGGATTTGAAGGTTTAGAGTAAGCTGGTATTGTCTTCAGCGTCACCTGAGATTGGTGTTTTGTGAAAGAGGCTTTGCAACCTGGTTAAGGATTCTTGATTTGCTTTACCGCGTTAGTGCGGCCAGTGGTATGGATGTCCAGACTTGTTATCTGGTGCGGAAGGTCGTGGGAGTGTGTCTCACGGGGAGATTGTAGGAGTGTGACGTGTAATCACTTGATTGATTGGAAATTTAAACCACGTATGAAGATTGTGGTAATATCGCTAATTTGAGAATTTATGCCTGAAGGGCACTTGGTTTATTGGGTTGTGGAATGTGGACGTTTACTCCGTTTATGATGGTTGTTCTTGTAAGTTATAGGAAAAAGGGGTACTCATGGACCCTTGAAAGGTTATTTGCCTAGTACGGTGCGATCAGAATCGGCTTGAGGTCTTTGGATGGATCTAATATGAAGGTGGGCTCTATATCGGGCCGAATGTGTTCATTTTAGCATAGCGCTCCTTATGAAGGAGTATTCGGATGTTGGATGTTGTTACGTCGTCGGCTATTTCATGTAATGTTATATTGTGCCGTATGGGTCGATAAACGGCTTGATAAATTTCTTATGTTGAGGTTCCGTGTTGCGATGGTGTTATGTGAGCGGGATGGCTCTTTAGATTCAGATCATATATCGCACCTCAGTTGTGCTTGAGTTTTGTAGCTTATGGCGCGATATGTCTCCCCAGGGATGGTATTATGCACTTAGCGTGCTTGCAACCGATATTCGGTATTTAGTAATAATGAGCAATTTAGCTCGGTGTGTATTTTCTTATGCGAGTCGTATGTTGTTTGGATCGGGTTGCACGCCGCGATAGTGTGATGTTGAGTTCAATCCCCTATATTCTAATTTTTGTGTGTTTTGCCTCCCATTTTTTTAGGAAGGTTCATATTAGTTGCGTGGGTTAAGTAGTCCCTTCCAGGGTTCGTTTTTCTTATGCATCACGTTCGAGTTTGTAGCTTATTGGCACGTTGTGGCATCACATGAGACTTTTGGTCATGTCTGGGGTGGCTTATTGCCTGAGCAGCTCGTACTAGGTAAGATGAGATTATTGGATCTAGGATCAGTGCGATCAGA